CCCCCACACACACACACACACCTCACTTGCTATAGTCTCTACACCCTAGTTATGATAATTCTTTAACACCTTATCAATAACTGTGGCATGTTCATAAATCTGTCTTTATCCGTGCAACTTTGTATATTATTATACATTTCGGTACTTCAGAATTACAAAGTTCCTAACATCTTTTTTTTAACTGTTCTTTGTTTTGTTATTAAGACCATAATATGACACCAGAAGCCAAACGTTCTACCTGCTTTATCAAAACGTCAGATAATTATTCGTAGTCGTTATCAAGATATTCCAAAAAATTGCATTCGAAAAAAAAAATTACATGATGTGAAACTCAAATTTTTTTACGTCAAATTTCTCCTAACTAGAAACTGAGCAGACAGAACTTTCTAATTCTGATGTAGTGATTTGTGTGTTTGAATTCGGTTCTAGCAAAAACAACAGCCACCTTTACTTGAAGTCTGGCTCTCTTTCTTGACCATCTGCTGGGCCGAGACTTTGTTGCTCTTCGGCATGCTCTTGTCGCCGCCGGCGGAGTTGTCGATTACTTGGGAGGAATCTTTCTTCTCAATGACGTCACCTTGACTGAGCGCGGCAGTGGAAGACGCCGAACAGCCCATCTGGTAGATCTACAACATAGGCTCCGCCTGGCTGGGGAGATACAGGTGTTAGGGAAGAGTAGTCTTAGTAAATTGTTTTACAGCACTTGCTGCACAAATAGGGGGAGGACTTCCTAACGAAGGACCATCCCAACAAATACAATAAAGAAAGGACTTAACCCTGTCCCTAACACTAAATTCTTACCCTACCCCTACCCCTAACCCAAACCCGAACCAAAGCCCGATCCAAATCCCAATCCCAAACCCAAATCCAAACCCAAATCCAAACTCACGCCCAAACCAAAACCAAAAAAAAAACCCCAGACCCAAACCCATACTCATACCCAAACCCAAACCAAAAAAAACCCACCCTAATCTTAACCCTAACCTCCCTAATATTATCTTTTTTTATTTTAGCCCAACTTCTCCCTCCCTCCTCCCTAATACTCATAATAATAGTATACATTCAGTGCCCCCTCCCAAATGCATTTACATCGCCCCCCCCCCTAAAAATGTACGCATAGTTTCCTACACCACCTATACACACAATCTCTCTCTCTCTCTCTCTCTCTCTCTCTCTCTCTCTCTCTCTCTTTCTATCTCTATCTCTCCCTACCTCTCCTACTCCCTCCTTCCCTCTCTTCCTTCTCACCCCTTCATCCCACCGCAAGACCTGACTTTCTAACCCCAGTCCATTCCCAGTTCCAATTAACAGGAATCAAGTATCATTTCTGTTTGATTTGGTTGGGTTTCGGGTTTTCCTCATTGTTCCCCTTTCGTTTTTTATACCTATTGGTTTGCTTGTGTCATTTGGTCTGGTTATTTTCTTAGGTTTGTTTTTCTTGAGAATGGGAAGGAGGAAGGAGAGTGGATGAAGCAATAAGTTAGGGAATTTAAAAAAGCTGTTGGAAAATCCTTCATCACTTGGGGTTTTTTTGTTGTAGTTTTTTTTTTCTTTTAGTTTATTCACAAGTGAAAAAAATATTCAAGATATTACTTAATGAAATGTATCTATAGAAATATTTGAATTAAGAGCTTTCCCTCAAGAGACACACACACACACACACACACACACACACACACACACACACACACACACACACCCCCCCCCCCACCTACACACACACACACAAAAGAATTTCACAAAAAATAATGGTAGCAACAATAAATGCAGTTTTTGACAAGTCCATGCTACCAACTGCTTACTCAGATGCAATGTACGTTATCTAAATCTTGACTGTAAAATGAGAGAAAAGAAAGACGATGAGTCATTTTCAAAAAGATGTCCCATTTTGTGAATTTGTGATTCCAGACCTACTTTCTGGGATACCAATATCAAATATTGTTCAGAATTGCCATTGACTATGTTCATGAACAAGATAAAACGTTCCATGACCTTAAAATCAGGTTTTCAAAACTGCCCAAGTCATATAAATTTTACCGCTCTTTTGCAAGTCTTGCTCAGAAGGTCAAAATTGTAAGATCTGCAATATGTATCAATATGCTTTTTAAAACATGCTTGGGGATAAAAGTCATGGCTCCAGGGATTAAATATTTCACAGTTATACACAGTATTGGAAAGCAATACTGAAGCCAGAAAAAAGCTTGGTGCCCGTCCTTGTCTTATATTTGTTAATTAACTCTTTATCTCAATATTTTGTTCAACCCATTTCAAACTTCTCTCCTGTTACCCAGCATTTAACACAGATGAATGTTCCCTAGACTGAGATACATTTTCTTTGAGATTTTGCGAGTGAAGACTACCTTCCTGTTCCTTTACATGGCATGAAACAGTGGTGCTTATGCAAAGCTGGCTACTGCTGAAAAAAAGTAATAAAGGAGAGGCAGAGAGAGATAAAACAAGAACCCAGTGAAGAGACTGCACTACATGCAGTATGAAAAGCAGAACTGCGTCGAAGACAAAGAAAAAAGGGAAAGGAAACCTTTCGTTTGTATAATTTCAAGAGACCATAGGGCAGCATGTATGAAATAGAGAAAAACGGAGACAGACACAAATCTGAACAAGAAATCAAACAGTTCCGAAGACAAAACAACGGATGCCTCAACCTCAAGTGTGTTATTTTCTAGACTAAAAAGTAGGTTTGCAATTAAAACCTTGCAGAGAAAAAGAAGATTAAAGTTGAAAATGAAAACCTTATCTTCGAGCAAGAAGGCAGTGAAACGAACTCTGAAATTTCCTTTTGCTCTCATGGATGAATTGAAAGACCGATACAAGAAAAAGGAAAACCAAAAGTTTTCGAATGTTAGCTTCTGGATAAATATTAAGAAAATACAAAATCCAGAGCAAATTTTAATTTGGTAGAACTCTCAACATAAAAAACAAAAGGAAAAGGAAGAAAAAAAGTGCTTTCAACTCTGCAGAGGGATAAAGTGCACATTTAGGACTTTTTTTCCTTCGGCCTGACAACTCGAGAATTTTGAGAGGGTTTAAAAATATTGTTACCTTGAAAGAGATATTTTTTTTAAACCCAGAAAATTTTGTTGAATGACATCTTAGAACATCTGTACAGACAATACCAGAGCAGTTCAAACATTTGTTTTACAATCTTTTGGCACTGGAAGCCATTTAATTTAGGGTCTTTAAGAAAGGTACAGAATCAGATCAAAACACTTGTGAGTGCAAGATTTGTGATAACTCAGAGTGAATAGCTAACGTATAATGCATTGTGTTCATCTGAAGGTTGTTCCTGCTAAAGTTTGCCCAAAACCAGGCTCGGTTCGTCCATAGAGCACGGTCGTGCAGTGCCCCCCAGAATTATGTAATGTTCTATTACGTAAAACACCCACAATGATAAAATAAAAGAAGCCAGAAACAAACACTAGCCAAATATTATATAAAAACAAGGTCCTCACTAGCGCCATAACTGTCCTTTCTGTGTCTATAGCGCCGTAAAACATCTACTATGCCATGCCAAAATCCACACGCTTTATTTAAACATAATAGGATATTCAACAGTGTAACCTGGCCTATAAATCGCTCTTGGGGATAACCTAAGCGATGACGAAACTCGTAGCGAGTTTGGCGGTACATTAATATTAATAAGACGGCACATCTCAAATGTGCTCCTGCCCAACAGCGCCAAAACATAGCCCACAGTAGGCAGTCTAAAAATAAACGCAATAGACCTACGCTACTCTTTGTCAATATTATGTGATTCCCGGAGCAAGCCAGAGGTGTGCTCAAGTGAATTGTGATTGGTTCATTGTCTGTCTTGACACTATTTTAAGTGACTTTGTGACCGTGAACCTGAGGGAGGTAAACGTGACCGTCCAATGAGTTGTGCCTTTGAATGGTTTGTAGTGGAGTAGTGAAAGTTATTACTTGAGTGTTTAGTTCCAATACAAGATGAACGAAATTGATGTTTAGCTATCCAACAAATTTAGTACTAGAAATCAAAGCAACAAGTAAAAAGAATGAAAATAAAAACACGAGGTCCTCCATCTCCAATTCAATGATCTTAAAATTATACACCGTCTCATTGACTATTAATTGTGCACGTCCACTTTTTAGTCCCACGAGCCGCCCCTGGCCAAAACATGCACGCACGGATCGTGTGATCATTGAAACCCAGTCCCACTACTAAACATCACCATCGACTGGACACAACTTAAACAAGTTAAGGAATTTAGATAACTTGGGAGCATGCTTACACATGATGGAAGATTGGATATAGGAAAATTGAAATCAGGACCCAAAAGCAAAAGCAGAAACCTATAAATTATCAACACCTACCAAAGGAAGTAAAAAGACAACGACTTATTCACAGCATAATTCCTTACAACACTGACTTACGATATCAGACCGGAAAGCGAAAGACTGATAAGGAATTAAACGAAATTTGACAGGGAATAAACCGGTTATGGAGCAAGAAAATCAAAGAATGAAGTGGTTCAGTCAACTGATGAAAGTCTCTCACCAAATCAGCCAGCTTCACGAGCTTATAACTCTAATATGTTTGGATACAAGAGCAGGTGCAGATCACGCAAAATTTGGCTGAATAGCATTTTAGTGGTCCTCCAAAAGAATAACATTTCAACAACTGAAGCCACCTACACTGCCCTTGATTTAAAATTGCACTCCCCCCCCTCGACATCGAACGATGCAAGAGGACGGATGAAGTAAAGTGAAAGGATCCAATCCTAGCATACTCTGAGATCATGAGACTCGCTGAAATGTGGCGCAAATGGGCAGTAATGAAAGAAAATAGAAATCCTGAATGACGAAGAGAAGAAAATAAGTATCACTAAGAAGAGAACAGAATTTGGGAGACTGGTGGCATTCTGAACGTTATTCCCAAAACTTTTCGATAGTACAAGTTACACGCTTCCGATATTGACCATCAGTTTAAGGAAAGACATGGAGCAATCTTCAAGCCAAAGAAGCAAGAGTGCATGGTAACGTCGCTCAAAATTGTTTCAGTAAAATTAAAGAGGAAATTTAATACAAAGCACCCACGTTGGGGCTTTGCAAATTCAACTGTCTACACTACACACTGGTAACTTTACTTTACTTTTACATTATCTGATCCCTTATACTGCGAGGTGTCGAGGAGGGATTCAGTTCTCGGATATAGGACTGGTGTGTTGCCTTTCGGGTCGTTATATTGTGCCTTTGAAGGATGTCTTTGACTCAATCGATGCAACTTTTTATTAGCCTTCTTTTTGTTCTGAAGGCATCCAATCGCATGTCGTAGACCTTTGATGCTTGCTGTCGTGGCTCCGTTCTCACTACTCATCCAAACCATCCTATTTAATGTTGTTTCTCGATGTATTTCGTTTCGACACCCACTTATTGCTTGATGCCTTGGTTTTTTACACTGATAGGTAACTACACCCAGTAAATAACGTCTAGACAGAATGCCTTTAACGTTCCCATTCATTTCAGTTATTCCTTTAGATGATGCTATCATTAGTAAAAATGTATTTAGACAAATGTTTCATTCTAGGCGAGATCTGTTTTTAAAACCTGATAACAGTCTTTTATGTTCCCTCCTGTTACCCACTTTTCCCTCCTGTTACCGCCTTTCTTTACGTTCATTAAAAAAATTTAGAACTT